GGTGAGCGGGATGATTGGTGGATTCATGTGACATGTTTGCTTCTAGTGTATGGGCAGACCGTGTGGCGAAATTAGGTTCGTGATGTTGCAGCGCCATTGGGAATTGCGCGACCTTGGTGGGAAGTGTGTTTGCGTGGCGCCGTGCCACTGGGGAGCGCGAAACATGCTGGTGCAAACGAGCGTCGCTGGTGAGCGGGATGATTTGTGGTATCATGTGATGATTTTCCTTCCAGTGGGTGCATGGGCAGACCGTGTGGCGACACGACGTTCCTGATGTTGCAGCGCCATTGGGACTTGCGCGGCCTAGGTGGAAAGTGCGTTTGCGTGGCGCCGTGCCACTGGGGAGCGCGAAACATGCTGGTGTAAACGCGCGTCGCTGGCGAGCGGGATGATTGGTGGTATAAAGAGTGTCCCAAAAGAGTGCCCTGCAAATGCTTCCTACAAGAGTGACCCACAAGAGAATGTCCCACGAGAGTGTCCTACAAGTCCTACAAGAGTGTCCCACAAGAGTGTCCCACAAAAGTGTCCCGCAAGAGTGTCCTACAAAGTGTCCTACGAGAGTGCCCCACAAGAGCGTCCCACAAGAGTGTCCCAAAACAGTGCCCTGCAAGAGCTTCCTACAAGAGTGACCCACAAGAGTGTCCTACAAGAGTGTCCCGCAAGAGTGTCCTATAAGAGTGTCCCACAAGAGCGTCCTACAAGAGTGTCTCACAAGAGTGTCCGTATGAGTGTCCCACAAGACTGTCCCACAAGAGTGTCCCGCAACAGTGTCCCACAAGAGTGTCCCAAAGAGTGTCCCACAAGAGTGTTCTACAAGAGTGTCCCACAAGAGTGTCCCACAAGAGTGTCCTATACGAGTGTCCCACAAGAGTGTCCCACAAGAGTTTCTTACAAGAGTGTCCCACAAGAGTGCCCCACAAAAGTGTCCCACAAGAGTGTCCTACAAAGTGTCCTACGAGAGTGCCCCACAAGAGTGTCCTACAAGAGTGTCCCACAAGAGTGTCCTATAAGAGTGTCCCACAGGAGTGTCCTACAAGAGTGTCTTACAAGAGTGTCCGTATGAGTGTCCCACAAGACTGTCCCACAAGAGTGTCCTACAAGA